TAGAATGGCTTTACAAACACTTCTAAAGAGAATATCCCTCACGCTCTCCCAGGGAAATCAGAAGAGAAGCTTACTGACAGGAGCTGTCTTTAAACACCGCTTTTTTCTATTTTTTAAATCACTGCCTCAGACAACCTGGCTAGAACCCTACTACTGAGAAGCAACGTACCTGAATTTTCTTCTCTTTTTGCTCTAAAACTTTCTGCAACATTTTCTTCTGTTTCTTGCTCAGGGGCTTCTTCTTTTCTCTTGTATCCTCTGATGCTTTTTTCTTCTTTGCCTTCCTCAGAAACAGTGGGTAATGGCTGCAGTTGAGCCTGGGGATTTTGACTTGGATGTGTCATTATTTCTGCAGGGGGCAGGGCACCTGTCAACAGGTGAGGCTACCCTTGTGGCCCTCGACTGTGCACCAAAACTCATTAAGTGGCCCTCCAGCTAAAATAATTGTCCACCTCTGCCCTAAGCTGTATCTTGCCTTGGACCCAAGTGCAACTGTTCCATTGATTAAATGAATCCAATTTAAATTCCTGAACATGCTGAAATCTTAGACTATTTCAGAACTTTTTAGGGAATAGAACCCAAATTGTCAGTTCTTAGTGGTCAAAGGACACACTTTTCTCAGTATAAATTGGAACTTCCCTAGCATTTGCCCAGAAGGGATGGGCTCTACAGTATGGCCTAAATGCCTCCTAACTTGCATATGGTAGGCTAGTAATGAGGAAATAAGTTAAAAAATCCTGGATACCTCCTAAACAACACCTTGCTAACTGTTTATAAATTAAGAAAGCTTCATCTTTTACCTTGTAACTCAGTGCCCAAAATTGGAATTCCTGGAGGGTACAGATACATTGTCATACAAGGGGAAAGGCAGTCTTCAGGGAGTCATGTCATAAGACAATTACAATTTTATACGACAAAACCAGTATTTTGAGTGCTGTCTGGAAACCAGTAGATAGCCAGGGTAGATCTGAGTGCTTTATAAGTAAAATATATTTGTAGGGAGATACTACACCTAGCAAATGGGTTGCTACATTCTGAACTTGATGCAGCTTCCAAATGGATTCATGATGTATTTCTATGTTCATTGCATCAGACCAGGCCAACTGTAATAAGCATCATGGTAGCAGGATAACATTCAAAAGCATCTTGGCTAGGTGGAGAACAATCCTGGTGATTGCCATTGCTTGATATCTTTAAGTAACTGAGAGTCTACACAGTCTCTTTACCTGCCTTCTCCTCCACACCACAGAATACTTGGTGATTGGATTCACAGTTTTTTGTTTCAGTAACCTAGTCTAATCATATAGGCAGCATTGTTTTTATTGTCTAGTGTACTTCTGGAATGTGGAAAGATTCTTTTGTGTTTGAGAGGTCAAAACAGACCCCACCAATTTGCTTTTGTAAGTGTAGGCACTAGTAAAGATATTACATTAGCATACTTTTGATTGTACCAGTATGATGTTCTTAGTTTCTACAGCTTGAATTCATACTAGTATGTTCTCTATTTTCCATATTCCTACTGCTGTCTTTATAGGTAATTTCTGTTACTAGTTTGCTTAATTTGCTTATTTATGCCATCAATTTCAAAGTTTGCCTTAATGCCACGTGAATGTTTTAGTACTCTAGGTATTTGTACCTCTCACCAGATTGTTGTTTTTATGTATGCTTTTACCAGGCGTTCCTTATTGTTCTCTGTTTCTGTAGGTATATTTGGCTTAACTCACTTATTCTGTAGCTCATGTTTGAGAGGAAGTAATTATTTGTGTAGCATGAAAATGTTATTGCTGCATAAGTATAATAGAAGAATGTTTCTTCTCAAAGTATGGAGTGAGTAAGCCAGCTTTAGTGCTTCTTGTTTTCTTTAACATATCCTCTGGAAACAAAGCTCAACAATTGCCCTGAATTATATTTTCATTGTATGCAAGTAAAATAATACATTCTCTTCTAGTAGTTTCAGTTTTTATGTTAAAGATAAATACATTATGTGCCCTGTCAAATGAAGTTTTGTGAAAATTTTGCAAATTTGTCTTGATCTTAGTATTGTGTATGTTAGCTTACTGTTCTGTGCATATGCTCTTATTTACCCTATAGACACTTTTCTTTGATGATAATTGCCCCTGTTTTAGAAAAGCAATTCTTCAAAGAAAGCTGCAAAAATATAATGTAATGAACTTTCTGTAAGGACTCATGTAGAACTTATGGTTTGGGAAGATCTTATTTGTCAGGATTTTATAATCAAATCAATTCACCTGCACTCTAGAACTGTATGCTGCTTGGAGGAAGAAAGAATACAGATGTTCCACTGGAAGGATATCTAGTAACACCAATACAGAGAATATGCAAGTATCCCCTTCTTTTAAAGGTACTTATATGTTTGTTACGTAGACCTTCATCCTCTGCACATAGATTTGTGGCTAAGCATATTTCAGTACTGTTGTTAGAATTTTTCTCTAAAGTGATTTCTTCCACAGATACTGGATTCAGGTAAGCTCTTATTGAAGTTAATGGCAAGTCTTCGCCTGACTTCAGTGCTAACAGGAATGAAGAGCTTTTTGTCTGAAAAGCATTAGCTCCTTCCTCTCCAGTTTCCCCTGTTGTATTAATATGTTCATCTTTATCACTCCTGAGAGGAGGCCATTCATTTAAACGAGTTTAATGAGATTGTTCTGAATTGGATTTGAGCACTTCCTAAACAGGAAGTAGGAATGGAATTATGCACATGAAGTGCCTTCATGGAAGTCATTATTAAAAACTATAAGACAAATGCACAAAAATGTAAAAGGTAGATAGAAGACACTTTAGGATAAGTATAAAATTATGTATACGTAGCAATGTATATTCATGTGTGTGTGTTTATATTCATGTGTAGCTTTCTACAGATTTACTTAACAGATAATAAAAAACTTATTACTTGTTAGACATGCTTATAAAATATTTGAAATCCACATCTTCTGACTTATTGAAGTTGGCATTTGGAAATAATGGATAATTTACCAGTAAGCTATGGTGCACTTAAAACAAATAGTTTATGTATAATAATTTTATGTTTGATATCTTTTCCTCAGTATTTTTAAAAAGTAACCAAGATATCCCTTGTGAAAGGGGAAGCAACGTTTGTTAAGTGAAATCTGATTATTGAACCAGTATTTTTTTTTGTGAATTTAGTTTCTGAGGCATTTTTAACTCAGAGAGGCAAAATTCATTGCTAGGAAATTGAAAGGATACATCCTAAGACACAGTGAGTTAAGTAATGTATTACCACAACTAGTCTTGAGTTGCCCTACCCATTTCTGTAGCCAAATTGTCTTATTTTAAAATATTTTCTTCTGCTGCATGAAAGATCCATAGACAGAACAGAAGAAACAGATTACTGCTTTATACAAGGATTACCTTGAAATCAGTTCTATGCAAGGTAGCATTAAAGGGCCAGGTGAAGAAAGTGAAATAATGGTGAAGATTCAGTGAAAATAACTTGCTTTATTTTCTTTCAATTACAAGAATTTTAAGTGTTTAATTTTGACAATTGTAAATAAACACTTTTAGATAAAGTAAAAAGTAACAGTTTTTTGTTGCTGTTGAAAATCGACTGTCCTGTTAAGTATAAACAAGGGTCAGAGATCACCATCAAGGCCAACCTTTGAGGCAGACAGTAGCTGAAGTGGAAACTTGTTTTTCATAAATAGCATTTATTCCTATTGTTACCATTTTGTTTCGCTGACTTTTTTTGCCTTATGAATATGCAGCGCTTGAGGCTGTAATACTTTTCTACCTAATAAAAGAGAAGTCTGATGTCTACTATTTAGTTTTAGTATCCCAGTCCATTTGAACTGCCTGTTATGTACATTTAGAGATCAAAGACTGATTTATTTTTATGTCTAAACAGGAGTTATTGAAGCGGACTCCAAGGAAACACAGTGATTATGCAGCATTAATGGAAGCCCTCCAAGCCATGAAAGCTGTCTGTTCCAACATAAATGAAGCCAAGAGACAAATGGAAAAATTAGAGGTTTTGGAAGAATGGCAGTCTCACATTGAAGGATGGGAGGTAGTGTCACAGTATTTGTCTTTTTGTAAGAAGGAGAGGCAGTGAAGCAGATAAGTAATTTTAAGCATATGTATTGCACTGCTTTGTAATGTAACATATTACATTACAAATCTGAAAATTTCCCATTTCACTCAAGAAACCACAATTCATATTTGGTATTTATTCTATCAGTAACAGTGTCTAATATAGTGAGGGGCTGACTTTTTGGCAGATTTGGCACAGATCAGCCCAGGACTGTCTTTGAGTGCCACTCCAATACAGTTCCTCTGCCCAATCTGCTGCTCTGCTTTCTGCTCCCTGCCCTATCTGCCCTTGAACTGCCTATCCCCTCTCTAGTCTTCTATGTGTCCATTCCACTTGTGGCACCCATGCTGCACATTGGCCACCCCTGGTCTAATAGTGATGCATGCACTTGCCACTTCTCACTCACCAGTGATGCATGCACTTCCAAATGGACTAATCAACTTTCAGGAAAGAGGAAAATGATCTAGTCTTGGCTTTAGGACACTCACACACACTCTGTGTAGTCTTTGTCTTAGCTCCATGTATTAATAACCACTGCAATGAGACTTAGCTTTTATGTACTTGTGTAATAGCTTCGTTTTTTATTTGTGGAATAGGGGAAGGAGAGAGGTTTTAATTACTTGTTAAGAATAAGTAAAATCTAAAAATGGTCATTCAGTAGGCAATAGGCAGCTCTGCAGGGCTCTGGCAGTGTCAGTTTCTTTCCCTGCTCCATGCAAGTGCCCCCCAGCACCCCCTGCAGCCTGGCCTTTATCCCTATGGGCACAGGGCTGAGCTCCTGTTCCGGGGTGGCACTGATTTTTACCCTTCCCCCTGCCATGCTGTGGGCTGGATTCAGTTGCTTTGGAGGCTGGATCTGGCCTGCGGGCCATAGGTTGAGCATCATTGGTCTATACAATTGTTTTACAGATAAATATTTCACGCTTTTTCAGCCCATGTAGCAAATTAGAGACAACCTCTGTTTACCAGTCACTTAGTTTGCTGGATTGACTACATATACCTTATTAATAACATAATTGATCATTTTAACAATTAGGTACCTTCCAAAGTGGATAAGGCAAGAACTGTGCCTTGAGGATTTTACAAATATAGCCCCTATTGGTGAAATTCATAGCTTTGGTTAGATGGTTGTGCTGGTGTACAGTCCCATTGACATAATTGGGGCTCTCAGAGAACACAACAGTGAACTACAGGACCAGGACATAGAATACAACATATGTGTTTTGGGAAATCAGAAACAGTAAACATGGAGAAGGGAATCTATACAATGACTCAGCAAGTCTGGGAGATTACTGTCTACTCTGAACAAGCGCATACACAGTTTATAACTAGCAGACTCACCAGCTTTTCTGGGTGAGTCTAGAAGTCTGGTTCTATTCCTACTAGTTATTATTAGACTAAAGAAAAAAAATCCTAAAGAAGTTTTAGGCATCCTTTTAATTCCAAAACATTATGCTAAATGAAAAAGTTTCCAAACAAGTATTTAAAAAAACCAAACACTTCTATATGCAATATTTTTATATTCAGTGGCAGTTGAATATAAGCATGTAATTAACAAAATGCAAGATTCACTTTTTAAGACCTGCTTACTCTTTATTTTTCCTTTACAATATACTACATAAAACAAAGGTCTTTAGGTTGAATATTTACTGTTACATTGGTTCAGTTCTGGAATAACTCTGCTGTTTTAAAGCTGTTTGTTTTCATCAGCCACATCATTACCCGTGTAGCAGACCAGATTTGACAGAATCTGGTTGTTAAAGAATGCCTAGTCTTGCTAAGTAGCTGATTTCTGTAGGCCTATCCTTTTCGTACATACAATACATTTTTCCTTGAAATGGTATATATGTCAGTGCTATTGTAAAAGCGGACATTATTTTTAGATAGGTATTAAAAAAAACTATGAGTGTGGTTTTAATTAAATAAACATCTGTTTTTCTGTTTTTCTAAAAATAGAGAGGGAATCTTATTGGAGATTTCCTACCAGAAGGAAATGCTTAGCACATTGCTTGGCCCCTGCTAGCAAAGAAAGAGGTTATTTTTAGACCCTGATGATCAAAGCATGACTTAAATTCCCATATACAAGTGTCATAAAACTAAGTTTGTGTTTGTTATAATAAAAATAGTGATTTATGGGCAAATCAGAACATCTGTTTCAAGATGTCACTGATTAGGAACCGTTTCACTGTTTTCATGGGTCAGAGATGTCCCCACACACAGGGTGCTAGCATTCCAGGTAGAAGGGTTACTTCTTAGGTGCTGAAGTGCTGTGGTGCAATGCTGGTGAGTGGGAATGAACACCCAGTCCACCATGCCTTGCAGTGGGTGAGTGGTGGGGATAAGTGCTTCCTTTGGGGGGTTCCAGGCGGTGGATGATCTGTGGCTTTTTTTGCTTTCCCTTCTCCCTTAAACATGAGCTAAGTGAAGTTCAGTATCCCGCATTTGACTGAACTGTGCAGGTTGCTTGCCTGGCGGGGAAGTGCTTGGATGCAGATTTTAGGGTTCCTGTGGGCTGCATAATGAGTAGCTGCAGTTGAATAGAGAGTGAGGACACAGCTGGTGGTTTTAGTAAGCAAGCAGTTCAAGGGATCTCTGATGTGCCAACAAAAGAGTGGAGGGATAGGAGGGCAGGAGAGTTTTGGCTATATATCAGGGTGGCCATTTATAGCAGTGGAAGGGTCAGGCAGTGTGGAGGACTGACCAAACCCATATCGCAGAACTCTCAGCACCTATGTGTAACACTGACCTGGTGTATAGTGAATTAGTTCAAAAGATTACTTGATTTTTCAGCTACAAACAAATATTGCATATTTGTCTTGGGAGAAACCATTTTCTGGGACAAAGTGCAGTTATTCAGATGCCCATGTCCATTATCCTGTGAACCTTTTTTGGGTTTGTTCTTGAACATCACAGAGTGCATATGAATGCTTGTCCTAGGATTGCATCATTGAATCAGTGGCAGCAAAATAGCAGTACATTCAGCCGCTTCCTTAACTCGAGTTGAAAGGGTGATGTGTGTACACACCAACCCTGAGGCTTTTCTGTTCTGGGACAAACACAAGCACAGTTTGTCCCAGAACAAATGTCCAGGGTCATTCCTTACCTTCCAGGAACAACTTTGAACCTTCCAGACTGTTTTAATTTGGTTTAACAGGCTTTTACATCTGTCTGCTGCAAATTTAAACTTAAACTACGGTAACAGCATTACCTAATGTCTGACTGCTCCATGGAAGTTATAGAGTCAGGAGACATAGTGCAGTTTGTCAGTACCAGCCCCCCACCCCTCCCATACTACAATGACCTGGTCTTTAACAGCTCCATTGCTTAGAATGTGACTTTTTTTAGATCACAGTAGGCATTACCATGCGACTGCTCAGAAACCTTCCTAACTCATGGTAGTGTTACTATGTTCTAAACCAACCATGTCCTAAATGTGTAATGTGTGACAAAGCCCTGAGAGAGAGTTGGAAATACCCGCTATCATGTAGCCTTAATAATCAGAATGTTACTGCCTTCCCAGGACAGAGATTTAAAATTATAGCCACGGTTAGTTAGATATGGAAACACTATTTGGAAAAATGTAATCTGTCATGGGGAGTGTTTAAGAGGGCTGACATTTTGAATGGAGCCTAAAGGAGTTAGATACCCGGTTCCCACTGACCTCCAATAATTAACTGCTTATCTTCATTAGCCTCCTTTTAAATATCTCCTTTTAAATATCTTTTAAATATTTTAAATATCTCCTTTTAAATATCTCTATTCATTCCATCCAGGAAGAGCACATACCAACTGCAGAGACTTCCTCAGCCTGACAAAGGGTTTTTAAACCCGAAAGCTTCCTTAAAAATGTTTCCAACTATTTAAGTTGGTCTAATAAAAGATATCAGATTCACCCAACCTTGTCTGCCTATGTCCTTAGACCAACCTGGTTTACAACCTACACTCTTTAAAATATCTCACCTTTTGTAAACCATCATTAAAATTTTGGATTAGCACTACTCTCTGAGGGTAAAAACAGATGTTGAGTTTCTCCCAGGACAAGGCCTTTAATCTTGGGCTCCTACAGATATACAAGCCCACTGTCCAACTTGAAGTACCTGTGAAGTATCTGAGATAACTCTGTTTACTGGCGTAATCATGGATAATCAAGTTAATTGTCAGTCATTCTGGGGACAAGCTGCAGGTGTAAAGGGTTGTGCTGCTCCCAGGTTTTGACTCCAGTCCATTAGAACTGACTCAAATAAGATGTCCCTTTTTATTCTGAGAAGGACATGAATGCAGCTACAGTTTCTCCCTGAATTCTGCAAAGTGCCCTGCCTCCCATTCCAGTGCCTCTTTGGGATGACATAAACCCCTGGAGGACAGGAAGAAGCAGCAGTAGGACTCATCCTAGTGCAGATATTCTTGTTGTCCTAAATGTCTGCACAGGGTTCACAAGCTTCTTCCACCTTTCTCCCCCATCCCTTCTTCCTCAAAATTCTTGTGAGTTTTAGGGAAAACCTTAAATCAGAAGAATTCTGAAAGATTATGAGATACTGGTTGCATTGTCATAGTGTTCTGTGCTGGATTTGATTTCTGATCATGTCATCTCACTGTCCAGGGCTACAAAAGCAATAACAAAAATCACTTACCTGCAACCATACCACCATGGGTCATGATCTTGTCAGATGCCATAGGTTAACATTGTTTTCTATTTGAATGGGAAATCCTGAAGGGCAGAGGAGGTCACTGAACATTTTTTATATAGAGAGCACTGTACTTTACTGTATTTTAAAAAAGGCAGTGAAATAATATCCTATGTTCATTCATCCTGAATGAGAACTACATTTAATCAAATATTAAAAGTGAAGGTGCTTTATTACATAACTCAGGAATGAAAGCATTTATTTTTACCACAGATAATTTCAGTGACAATGGGCAAAAGTATCTGTTCAGATGAACATTTTCCAGGGAACATTCCAACTTTTTATAGAAAAATTAAAAGCTGTCAAGACTAAATCATTTTAAAGCTGAAAAAAAAGGCTTTCAGACAACAAGAAATTATTAGATCAAAGTAGATGTTTTTTTCTTGGGGACTGGGAGAAGCCATCTTGTTGAAAATCCAATGTTTTATTGAAAAAAATTCCAATGGTAATTTTTCAACTATCCTTGAGTGATATGTGTTAATAAACAAAATACAGTATAGTATAATGGAAAGAAACTGCACATTGCATGTAGCTAAGATGAGGTGCACACTGATATCAACCTGTTGACTTGAATATCTTCCTCCTGTCTTTACACATACATACTTTTATTGTTGCACATGCTTTTAAACCAAGTTTCAGTATTACACTTGCAATGAGTCTAAATATAGTATACAGGCAACCCTCGCTATTCACAGGGGATATGTTCTCGTATCCTCCGTGAATGGCGAAATCTATGAATAAGGCACTGCGTTCATGAACTCAGTGCCACTGGGGGTGGGGCATGGCTGTTCTGGTGACAGCGGGAGCATGGCGGCGGCGAGAGCAGAGCTCCCGAGGAGCTCCTTTAAGTGTATTTAAGAAGCGGGTTTGGCATTTGTGAATATTTGAAACTGCGAATGCCAAACCCATGAATAGTGAGGGTTTGCTGTACTGACTTATTACAAAGAAAGGTGTAATGAGCGTGATGTAAACCTTTTGTGCATTTGCATAGTGGTTTATATTGTATTTCAACACAGTTTATTGGTTTGTATAGACTTTATAGTAATAGATATTTTTTCAGGGACTGGTTTAAAATTGTTCTGATAATTTTAACCTGACCCAAACTTTAACGGTAACTTACTCAGTTGTAGGTTAGTTAGAAATAGTCATGGGAATGAAGAATTCTGTTTTGTGCTCCTGGTTATGGATATGGTGATTATTCTGAAAATTGTAGCTTGTTAAAGCTGCACTGATTGTTCAGGAGACAACAAAGTTGGTCCTTTGGGCAATTTTCCTGCCATATGTCAACTTCCTTCTCTGAGGCTGTTTGGCATTTTAATCTGTAGTCAGGCAGAAGGTACGGCATCTGGTGAACTAGGTTGTTGTCTATGACAGCTCATGCCTCTCTGAATCAATAATTGTCTAACAGCCACCCTACCCTGCTGTCAACCTTTACCTTGCTTCTCTCAAGTTCCAAAGCTCTGCACAGAGATGGATAAGAGCATTTTGTACTTTGGCAAAATTACTTCTTGTTCTCTATCCTTGGTAGTGGAAATGGCTTACCTGTTCCCACTGAAACTCAGTCAGTCTGAGGAAGAAGCAAATGGAAATTAGGTTGACAAAATTATGAGTAACACAGGGTGCGTCTACACATGATGCTACAGTGCTGTAGCAACACACTACAGTGATGTAGCATCGGCGGTCCGAAACAGTGATGCTACAACTATGTCACCATAGCAATGCGCTCCCTCATTATAGCACATTGCTATGGCAACATAGCAACTAAAAATAACTGTGTGTGGCACGCACAGTGTAGTATGGGCTGTTACTGCAACGTCATTTAGTACTTCCAAAAGGAAGTACTTTAAAAAAGAAGTACTAAACGATGGCACAGTAACAAAGGGACATGTGTAAACGTACCTACAGAAGAGAATTTTAATGAATGTGTTAGGCAAGGTGTTGCTAATAGCTTTCTTATTTTATTGTTTTTGTTTTGAATTTGTATTTAATTTTGTTTTCTATGGAAATGTAACTATTTATAAAACATTAGAACAGTTCAGTGATTAACTGGTTTCAGAGGGATAGAATTATATAGTCTTCTGAAACATTAACTTGCCAGTTATGGCGGGTCACAATTATTGTTTCTTTAACCAGCCAAACTTGTCAGAAGAAATCTCAGTGCGACTTGGAACGTTTTTGACTGAAGTGGCATGTATAGAGATTAATATAATTTGGAAGATTTGGGGAGAAAATCCAGTAATCCATAAGAAAGGAACTAAAACTATAAAATAGTTGAAATACCAGGTTAAAGCAAAACTTTTGCTGAGCTTGTTTAATTAAATATTAGAAGTCATTGCTCAAAATAAAGATCAGACCACTGCAGTTTTTTTTCTTTCCAGAATTTTTTAAAAATTAGTTTGTAGATTAGTTGGCCCTCCTCTTAGTATGTAGAAATCTAAAAGACCTAATCAAATATCTTCTCTCTATTTGATATAGGGGTCCAACATCACAGATACTTGCACGGAAATGCTAATGTATGGAGTTTTGCTGAAAATTTCTGCAGGAAATATCCAGGAGCGGGTCTTTTTTCTTTTTGATAATCTTTTGGTCTACTGCAAACGAAAACACAGGTAAATGGATTAACTTTTACTGTGGAAATCGTTTACATTTTTTTCATATGAAGACGCACTTCATTAGTGAGGTGTGTGTGTATGTGTGCAGACACAAATGCATTTTTGAAGTGTGTGGTTCCCATGGCAGGTTTAAGGCCTAATGACTACATTTTCAAAAGTGCTCAGGTAGATTAGGATTCTAAATCCCAATTTCAATTTCAAAAGTAATTTACATATTGAAGCTCCCAGACTCCAGTGGAAGTCAGTAAGTAAGAGACATCTATCACAAACATCCAAGCATATCCAAAGCCTATTGGTCCTTCTGAATTAATAGCTTGCAACTGATATAAGAAAGTAATTATGGAACTTTCATTGTCTATTTGGCATGTACAATTTATGGTTGTACTTAGGTACATTTCATGTGGTACTCAGAATAGATTTTACTCATTATTTCTAGAAAGAAAGAAAAAGAAAGAAAGCTTGACTTTGACTTTTAGAAATGGTTATTCTGGGGAGGGTGACAAATGGGGGGCAGTAAAGACACTACAGGTTGGTGGGAAAGTCTGGGCCTCAAGGACAAAGCCTGGGCTCATGGCTTGCAAGGCCTGCCAGCGCAGTCTAGTCTGTGGACCTTTTAACAAGTATACATTGCAAGAAAGTAAATAAACAAGGTGTGTGTGGGGGGGCAGTGAGACAGGCAAGTGGGCCCATGAGGCCAGGCATGAACAAGGAGGAGGAAGACAGCAGGAATCAAAGGGAGAGAGCATGGGCTCCTGCCTGTGGGGGAGGGGCAGAGGCAAGTGAGGATGCCAGATCCCAGGGGAAAAAACTCAGAAAGTGGGGAAAAGGGGCAGGGGGTGGTCCCCAAGCACAGTCTGGGGATAGGCAAGGTTTGTGGGGGCTGGGGGGAGAGAAACAGCAGGGGCAGGGAGGAGTATACAGAAGGGACCTGAGCTGGAGGAGCTCAGAGGGGCTTCATCTGGCTGCCACCATCTTGAAAGAAAGAAAGCAAGATTTCTATAACTTTTTATTTATGTTGGGATATATAGGGAATATTACTTTGGTTAACTGGTTAACTTAGTAACTTAGTTAAATAACAGAGAATCAAGATGAGATTATATCTCCATTCTATCACAGTCTGTTCATTCATATTACTTACTGATTGTGGAATAAATGCACTGTAAAGGTTTCTGCTGGCAGAATGCCTAGCTAGTAAAACAGAAGATGATGTTGATACACTCTATTTCATTAGAAAGACTTATATATGTCACTGGAGACAAAAAGGTGGTAGCCCTTTTTTTATAGGGATTTGATTCATCTTCCTCCATTTGGTAACCCATTGCTTTCCTTTGGAGAAAATGCTGGTGGTGAAAAGACTGTTTGCTAATGCAAGGGCATTACAAATTTACACTTTCTTTCTCGAGTTGTAGTGGATTTCTCCCTTTGTTTTCATATTTCAGCATTCATTTGGATTGTCATAGTTTAGAATTGGTGTTTAGAATTTTTGCATGAATTTAATTTTGCATGAATTTGAATATCTCTGAAATATAATTCCATTATGATTTTCAAGGATGCCATTCTACTCATGATTCTCAGTCTAGCAGAAACCGGAACAGGTTAAAAGTTCTCTCCATTTTTTTCTTAAATTAACTCACTTTTCAAGTTTTTCAGTGCAATTGCAACTAAATTATGACTTGCTGTAACAAGAACCCATTAATTCTTCATAAGTAAATTACTTTTTTTCATGGATATTTGCTAGTAAAAATATAGCGGTGAATGAAAATCTTGAATGTGGCATATATAGATGGTTTCTTTTAATGATGTTCAAAATATTTCTTCCTGGCAGTGATTTTTCCTTTTTGAACAATTCAGCTTTGATGTCTCTTCAGATATTAAAATGACTGGATTTAAATAGATTAATAATATTTTTATTGGCAAGAATTGTAGATGGGGAGTTAATTTATTCATAAAAGTTATCAATAGGATTTGCTGTGAGAGCAAATCCTATCGATAACTTTTATAAATAATTGAATTCCCCATCTACAGTTCTAGCCAATAAAAATATTATTAATCTATTTTAAGCAACAATGATACTTACCTTTTGTAGCTGTTAGAATTGTTTTTATGCTATGGAATGTTTTCTGTTAGAACTTTAAATATGACAAGTGGAGATAAAGTTCACTAGAGTAATGTATTACTCATAATGCAATTACGAGTGAGATGGAGATTTCCTGGGGTTTAATCTCCATCTGGATAGAAGTGAAAGCCTGAGTCCAGGTGACCATTAAGGATAGGGACAGACATTCAAAGCTGGAGCCTGAACTGATTCAATCTTTGCAGCTTAGTTTAACCTGCCTAGATTGAACCAATTTGCAAGTGAATAGA